ATGGAAAGCATGTTAGTGAATGTCAAGTTGAATATTCAGTCTGCTCGTTCCAATTTAAGTTTGATTCAGAGCACATTTATTGGGGCTTGGTATATGTCAAGCACTCTGTCCCATGCCATGGGGCATCCAGATGAATGAGTCATGGCTCCTACCCTTAAGGAGCTTGCAGTATATCATCTACAGATCACGTGTCTTTTGCACCAAATGATTAAACCTTAAAGTCCCTGAGCTGCTCAAGGTGAGTTGAGAATGCAGAGTACAATGGAGGCCAAACAAACAAACAATACTAGGACACTGCTCAGTATCCAGTTTCCAGAAAGACCCAGATAGGAAGTGTAGCTTTTTCCAAGGAAGGTTTAAGATACCCTCTATGTTGCCACAGTGGCTCAGAGAATACAGATAACATAGAAAGAATGTATCTGGCTGAGGAAGCATATATCATTTGGGCTAAAAAGAAAACATAACAGCATTATGAAGCCATTCTTATAAATCAGTAAAGCTGGAAACCAGTATTTTGTGTGGTTAACTGAGTCAAAGGGGCTGAGTGGTCACATGGGAGGAGAAGTAATGATGGCTTATTGGATTTATTAGTATCACGACCACCGCCATCGCTACTCCTGCTGTTGTTTATGGAGTTTTTATTCCCTGCTCCAGGCATTTTTTCTAAAAATTCTATTCATATTATACCATTCCATCTCTCCAAGCACTCTAAGTGATACACATTCATATTTTCATTTTATCATTGAAATAGCTAAAGCTTACAGGTTAACTAATTCATCCAGACTAAGTGGTGTCACCAGGACTTTACTGGCTGGATATTGGTGATTGGGACAGAAATTATTTCAGTGGATAATAGGAATGGGGGGCAGGTTGGAAGGGGTTAAGGAGTAAATCTACGTGAGAAAGGACAGCTAAGGAGGAGAGGAAACACATTTGGAGATAAGTTTTTGCATGAATTTTTTTTTAACTAAAGAAAGAAGGAGATCTCTCCTTTAACAAGAAGGAAGGAGGCAAAGACTAGTGCAGAGATAGGTCAGCTTGTGACATTTGATAGGCAAAAACTGAAGCACTTTTTGTCTGATGGCATCTATTTCCTTTGTGAAGGAAGAGGCAAGATCATCTTCTAGAAAGAAAAGAGGAGGTGGGGTCAGAGTTTTGGAAGAGGGTGATCAGGCTCGAAATAGACCTTGGAGAGAGTGGAAGAGTCAGTTGAGAAGGGAAATATAATAGAACTGCTTGGCAGTGTTGAAGATTGATTTATTTAAGGTTTGTGATCATATATTTATAGTAATATGAGCCCGCACTATTTTAGAATTTTCTCTTGCAGCCCTGGGATTCTTCATTGCAGGGAGAGAAAAGGTGGTTGTTTGAATTTTAGCTCTTGTTGGGATTTGCTAGATAAGTGCAATGAAAGACAGATGGGCGAGGGAGATTAGGATAATGACAGTAGTGTTATTGATGTGATAGAATGTGGAATCTAAGCTGGATAAAGAGGGCAGTGAAGAACGTCAAGGACTGATCAATAGGTAGAAAGTAGAGAACTTGATGGACTGAATGTCATTAGGAGTGGGGGCTAATTTAAAACTCACAACGGGGATGCTTTAAGCCAGCTTAGAGTTAGAGATAGTGTTCAAGAATGATATGTTTGAATCAATGCTTTCAGGAGCAGCATAATTTCAGGTCATAACAGAATCCATGCTATGAATGTGGAAATGGGTAGATAAGCTGGAGGAGAGAAGGCTGCTTAGTTCTTTCCGGATATGCTAAACTTGACATAAAGCCTGGGTGTTTGCATTGTTGCATTCATTATTTCTATAACCTGTATAATGAGATAATCTATGGTGTGTTGAGATACTAATTTTTGTCTTGTTCTTGCTGTAGGAAATTTGAAAAATCAAAAGGCAGAATTCCCCCCCCCGACTCAAGCCTTGTGTTCTAAGATGTAGGCCACTCGTTCTAAGCTACAGTGGTACATCATTCCCGCCCCCCCACCCCCCACGCACATGCACACCACCAGGAGGCACTTTGGAAGTGGGTTGGAGTGTTTCTGGTTGGAGATTAGGAAACACTACTGGCACTCATCTTCTTTATCCATTCATCATTTGATGGGCATTTGGGCTCTTTCTATAATTTGGCTATTGTTGATAGTGCTGCTATAAACATCGGGATGCACGTATCCCTTCGAATCACTATGTTTGTATCCTTTGGGTAAATACCCAGTCGTGCAATTGCTGGATCATAGGGTAGTTCTGTTTTTAACTTTTTGAGGAAACTCCATACTGTTTTCCAGAGTGGCTGCATCAGTTTGCATTCCTACTATTAGCTTCCTTTTCAAATATTGTCTTTCCCCCCATTGTTTACTGAAACACATGCTCTCTAAGGTCTCTTCATGTATGAGAGACTACAATATAGACCTTGGAATGTGATGGGATTTCAAATTAGGTGATGTATTTTCAATGATACTTCATCCATACCCTGTAGGGATGTACCATCTTATAATCCTTAAAAATGAGGACCAATTCATTTGTGAGAATAGCATCCTTGCTCTTTTTCTCATTGGAGTGTGTAATTTGTTTGGCATATTATTCCCATTACAATAAAAGTTGTTTCTCTTTTTTCCCTTATTGTACATGACTCTGTCTAGATCGCTATTACTTATCCTAACACGTTTTCACTCATTAATGTCTTTTATTTAATTTCCCCTTTATGATTCAGTTTTAGCATTATATTTTTTTATCTTAAGTATGTGAGTATGTAGATTTGATTATGTGTGACTTTCTTTTCAGGATAGTAAAATGGGCAATATAAAATATTTGTTAGAAAATGGAACACAAATTTGATATGGTTGATGTCTGATGTCTGGGCTTCCCTTACTACTCCCCTCCTCTGGGTTAAGATTTTGTAGGTTTCAATGTTAGATCCTTCAAAGGATCATGCTGGACTGGACCAAAAGTGAGTGACCTGCCCTGGGATACTCAGTGGATTCCCCTAGGGATGGCAAGTGGGTTTGGGGTTTAGTTTTGGTAGTGAATTCCTTGAGTGGAAGATACTTGTTCCCGGCTTCTGCGCACATCTCCAGTGGGGAGATGGCTATGTGGAATAAAGAGGGAAGCCAGGCAATAATAGATGCTTCAGTTTGGAAGCACTGTCAAGTTTCCATGCTTAGGCTTGACGTAAAGGGATTAGAGCCACTTGTGTTTGAATGAAGTAGGCTGGTCGTGAGCAAGGACCACGATGGATTGAAGACCAGAGGCTCATCATCACATTTTTTCTGGACCGAATAGCCCTTTTGTCTCCTGTTTAAACCCAAAGGGAAAAGGAGTCCCCCAAAGCACTGCTGAGATTGAATTTCCTATCAGTTGTAGCAGATGGGGGCTAAATTAGATTTATTTGGTTTAAAAAAGAAAAAAGAAAGAGTCACTAGCCCTGAAGTGCCCTGGTGAAAACTCATGCCAATTACACTTGAGCTTGATAATATTATTTTAGACATATTCTCATCAGAGACACATTGAAAAACCTTTAGTGAGGGGCGACTAGTTGCATGACTCTATTCCTGCATATTCCAAAGAACTAGTAGCTTCTGGTTGACCTTTTGTCCTGTTCCTCTGGCACCTCTGGAATGAATATCTTTTTATTTTTAAATTTCCTCATCCACTAGCATCTCTGTGTGAAGGCTCCAGGGAGTAAGTGAATGTGAGGTTCCACTCTCTGGAAAGATTCACACATCTTGCTCTGGTTTGTTACATTGCAGAGGGAATGGTAATACTTTGGCTAAAAGAAGAACTTCAAATTGTCAAATCCCAGTGCTTTTGTGAGGCCAGTGTTTGTAAGAAAGTAGACTGAATTCATCAGGGTCAGACAGTAGTTGGAATAAATCACCAGGGAAGACCGTGAGTGGCAGGGGGAGGCTATTGGGGTGCATACACTTGGGAAATGAGAAGACAGATCTTTGAGCTGTGCTTACTAAACAGAATTCTCTGGACATATCGCTTAGGAGTGATTGGATGGTGAATTAAAACGTCTGCATTCGTGTTGGCCCCTTGAATGACGGTAGCACAATGAATGCTTTTGAGGAGCGATCTATATGGCTTATTTTTTACACTCAACTGAAAGCTCTGGAGCTCAAGACAAGATATTTCTATTTTGTGGCTTCATTGTGTGAGTAGTCACAAAATGAGGTGGGGAAGAAATATTGCTCTTTAAAAGTTAGTGAACCGTGGGGATCTTACGTGGAATTGTAAAGAGTTCAAACTAGTCAAGGAAAGAAATGGCAGATAGACAACTCGAAGAGGGTTCAGGCGCTGCTTGAAAGACATGGGCATTGATTTCAAAGCCCAGGCCTTGGGGACTTCAATAGATGGTCAAAAAAAAAAAAAAAATCCATGTTATTGCTTTGGGCTTTCTGCTGAACACAGTTTCTACATCCATCCTCAAGACAAGTTTATAGCTAGCTCCACACAGCACATAAACTGCTTTGTAAAGGCCCCCAAATGGTTAAATTTCATCAAACAAGTGGTTACTTTGAAACAACTCATTAGCATCCTGTCACCAAGCAGGGCCTTGACTGAATTAAGTTGCTTGTTTTCAAACACCTGTTAGAAAATACACCCTATGCAGAGCACTCGAATCGAAGAGAATTCTCAGAAACAAAATCTTGGACATCTTTTAAAAACAAACAAGAGTTACCAAAGCATTTTGTGTCTATTTGGGGAGGACAGGCTTCTGGGTATCTTTTAGTACCCGCTTTACAACTATTGCAAGAGTAAATCATGGTCCTTATAAAACCTTCAAGCTGCCCGGCCTCTCAGCAGCATTTGACATTGTTGGCTTCCCTGTTTTGCAACTCTATCCTTCATTGTCTATTGACTTCCTGTGTTCCCACTTTAGCTCTGTGGCTATCCCCCATTGGGGTCCCTTTCTCCACACATCCCCGAAATGCTTACTTATTCCCCTGTTGTATTGTGGGCTCTCCTCTCTCCTCTGCACGAACTCTCATCTTCCACTGGCCTTCACTTTTCCTCTGCGTTTGTGCTGTCCACTCTCATAGCCACGAGCCAGGCATGGCTCTTGAAGTCTAAATTAATTACAATGAGATAAAAGAAAATTCAGTCACACTAACCATGTTTCCAAGGCTCACCAGCTACACATGGCCATAGCCAATGCAAATACAGAACATTTCTATCATTACAGAGAGCTCTATTAGAAAATGTTGCTTTGTATGCTAATGACTCGCAGACAGGTCTCTAGTCCAGGCATCTCTCTGGGGTCTTGGACTCATAAGAGCCTACCAGACATCTCCATTTGGATGTTCCATAGGCCTCACAGACAAAATATTTCCCTCAAACTGCTCCTTTCCTGGAAGTTTGATTGGGGCCTTGAATGCAGAGATAAGGAATTTCATCTATATTCTTTATGAAGAGGAGAGCCATCAAGAATTTTGACTGTTTCCAGATAATTAATTTCAAAATTGACAATTCTTTAAAATAAAGAAGACTTCCAATTTTCAAGGGTGGCGTTTGACAGTTTCTAAGTTGAATCATCCCTTTCAATGACCCTGTAATTGGCACCTGTCCCCAAATTAATTTCACATACTTTATGCAGAATGAAGCTAACAAAGCAAACTTTGTGATAGGACTTCCACAGATTGCTTAATTAACACTTCCAAATCTCTCATTTATTTGGATTTCTAAGTCAACAGAATTAGACTACAAATTAATTCATTAGTGCAAACAATAGCAAATGGGGTCAGGATTATTAGGAGAAGAATAGACAAGGAGATGAATTGATCCACAGTCAGATGTACAGGTTGATCCCTGAGACTCAGAAAAAGTAGGTCAACTTTTCCCCCTTTCTCTTAATTACATGCCCACAAGCTTTCTTCTTGTCAGGTCTGGAAATCTGTGTAATTATGTTTCCATATCTGATCGCGTCCAATTTTGAAATGAAATAAACAGTAGGAACTGGTCACATTAGCAAGTGGAGCCACGAAATTACATTCATTAAGGCATTGTTCAACTATGGAGTGCAATCCTCCAGTGACCCCAGGAAAGCAAAAATTCAGTTTACAATTAAGGACCTGTGATACTCAATAAATATATGTATTATTTTGGAAAGAATGCATTCTTTCCCCTTCTATCAAAGGGACTCTAGACCTGGAAAGGGCTTGGATAAAGAATAATTACACTTTGATGAAAAGAAGCTGAATTCACCTTGATCCAAATCAGGTCAGTAATTATCCACCCTAATGCAGTATAATGATCCTTCGGATTTATAATTATAAACCTTCAGGAGAGTCTCAGTGTAATTCTGAAGTAACAGCAAGGTAACAAGCAATGTTTCCCATTTAATTTTCCACAACACACAACGTGATTCTATACTGAATTGCCAGTATGCTTTTATTACAGTCATTTCTCATGCTTTAAAAAAAATTCCCTCCTCTCTAGGGGCGCCTGGGTGGCTCAGTCATTAAGCGTCTACCTTCAGCTCAGGTCATGATCCCAGGGTCCTGGGATCGAGCCCCGCATCGGGCTCCTTGCTCCTCGGGGAGCCTGCTTCTCCCTCTCCCACTCCCCCTGCTTGTGTTCCCTCTCTTCCTGTGTCTCTCTCTGTCAAATAAATAAATAAAATCTTTAAAAAAATAAAAAATTCCCTCCTCTCTAGACAAATATATAGCTCCCATTGTCAATCTTAGCTTGCCTTCCCAACTTTGAATATTGTTCTCCGCTGCGCTGAAGCAAGCTGCCTTTTATCAGGCAGACAAAAATGCCTCCTCCCAACGTTTTATTTTCTTCAAGACCTTTATCAGAACTTCCAGGAGTGAGGAAGGAAAGATGATTTCAGCTCAGTAACTAAAATGGCCAAAGTGGACACCGTTACCTTTGCTTGTCCTATGTTTGCCTGTCTGTCTACTACATCCCACTACATATACATGTGATATTTTATTAGATAACAGAGTGAAATTGCACACCATACAGCCTACGTGGCAATGAGAGCAAGGCACACATACTTGGACAGAAAGAGGGACAAAGAGGAAGGGAGAAAAGGAGAGAGGGAGAGAAATGAGGCACTTTTCTTTCTTTTTTTTTTTTTTAAAGATTTTATTTATTTATTTTAGAGAGAGAGAATGAGAGAGAGAGAGCACATGAGAGGGGGGAGGGCCAGAGGGAGAAGCAGACTCCCTGCCGAGCAGGGAGCCCGATGCGGGACTCGATCCAGGGACTCCAGGATCATGACCTGAGCCGAAGGCAGTCGCTTAACCAACTGAGCCACCCAGGTGCCCCGAGGCACTTTTCTATAAATAGAAAGGGCAGACTTCCACATTCATTATGTGTCCTTGAACCAAATATTTAATCTTCTGAGACTCAGAATACATATCTCATAGAGTTGTTGAGGATTCAATAAAATAAAGCTCTAAAATACCTAATATAGTGCCTGCCACAAAGTAACCATTCAATAAAGAATGGCAAGCATTCCATTAATCACCCAATAGTCACATAGACGTTTCAGTCACTTTGACAAAAATAAATAGTATAAGCATTACGTATGTATTATTAATAAATAGTATAATTACATATTTGGGCCGATGTGAAATATGGAGTAATTGAAAGAGGGCCTGGTTGGGAATCAGGAAATCAGTGTTTGAATCTTGACTACGATTGTTGTCAGCTGGATGATCTTGGGAAAGTCTCGTAACCTTTGGAGCTGGGGCTTCCATGAGTGTAGGACAGAGGCTGCAGGATCCACCCCGGACATTTGGTGTGCTAATCCATGCATAGGGGCTGTTGTATGTCAAGCTCTTTGCGTGTATGTAAACCATGAAGGGGTGAGACCCTGTTAAGGTCCTTTGCCTTTGGGGAAGCAGGCCCAGAGGCAGGCCCTCACTGTGTGTGGCTGAGAAGTCTTAGACTTGGAAGTCTGACAACAGCCTGTAGCCCTGTGTGCATGAAGCTTCTCCGTTCTGTTTTTTCGAGGGGCGACTGCCACGGTGACAGGCTGTGTCCAGGCCTATCTCACCCAGGAGTCTGGGAAAGGAGCCCCTGGGCACTGGAGATGGTGATGGGAAGGTGGTGGGGCAGACTTCTCGGGGCCTGTTAGAGGCAGCTGGGCTGAACACACCGATTTTCAGAGAAAGCAGACACAATCTCGAAATCCTGTTCTAATCATCACCATCTAGCAACCAAGTCCTCGCACACAGCAGGTGACCAGTAAATATCTGTTGAAGAAGTCCAGGCAATCTCAAGTTTCATGAGCCCAATACATCGAATGACTAAGAGTCTATTGGCTTGCCATTCGGTCACTACACACAGCGTTCAAGGGAGAGTTTATGCCTCATTCCTGGGGAAATGGTTTTTCTCATTTGTCTTTTCTCCTCCCTCAGAGACAGCCTTCCTTTGTACGCTCTTGCAACCTCACTTTCAAGTCTCTGGTGAAATCAGGTAGGAAGCATCTTGGGGATTTTTCTTTCTTTACCAACTCTCAGTTGCTGATCAGGTTGCCATTTTGGATTGCTAAATGGCCTTCTAATTCCCATTTCATGCCTGGTGCTTTGTCTCTTGTTGGCTCTACAGGACTGTCAGAACCTATTTACTAACCTTGCCCATCTCCTTCTTCAGAACTCTTCAGCCGAGCTCTTTTTCCTGCTCTGTATTCTGTTCACTGCTCAGCCACCCTCACAGGCCGCCGCTGCCACTGAAGAGCCCATGTGAAATAGGCGACTGAGCTCCATGACACATTTCGAAGAGAAATATCCACTCTTTCCCGAATCAGTGAAGTTTTAAATACCAGAAACCTGTGTCTCTATGAAAGAGTTGCCAGAAAATTACAAATGGACTTCTTTTTTTAACAGAATCTCTGTGTAACTTCAAGCTATGCAAGTCACATTTAGGTAAACCTGCTTGGGGGGAGGGGGCGGCGAACTGCCAGTCACTCTTACGTACACTTGGTTCTCTGGGGGGAAGAAAAGGTTTTTTTCAGACCAAGTAGAAAACAAAATCTATCATCTGATACAACTTTGGATCCTCCTTTTTTTTTTGGCTGAAGATTTTGCACTGAAAACATTTTTACAGCCATGTATAAATGGCCAAAAAAATACAGTGATTTCCTAAATGCTAATAAAGTTTTAACATAAAAAAACAGATTTTCTCAGATAGCAACTGGCAGTTTGGGGATAGAAATAATGTATTCAGTAAATAAATTTCACACAGCCCAGCTAAGCACTCCTACAGACTATTCAGATCAATATTTGATGAGATTGTATCAAAGCAAACTTATTGCTATGAGGGGCCACTGCTGTCTTTTGACTGAAGTTAATGAAGCAGACATATTAGTGTAAAGCACTTGCTGGATGCATTTGGAAATTTGTCCTAACCACCACTGGTGCTGCTAATGGAAGGTGGTAATTACTGTCCACATAATTCTGAAATAATTAGGAAAATGGGCACTTTTTGGAATCATCCTATTTAAAATGCAGGCCCAATAACAGAAAAGTTTCTAGATGTGTGCTGACTTGAATCAGTGAAGATAAAAGGGACAGACCTTTTTACTTTACAATTGAAATCTCTCTGCTTTCGCCCTATAGCTTTAGAAGGAATGAGGGAGCGGGAAACCTTGTTAATGCCAAGGCGTAGAGAAGAGCTCAGGAAGTCAAGGGTGGTAGCAACAGGATGGCTCACCTCCCCTTACAGTTAAAGATGCTCTAGCTGTCCTGTAACTTGAGACCCCTCCTGCCTCATTCATGTAAAAGGAAGCTCCCTGATTTGGCTGAGTCTCCAGGATGCTTCCCGAAGGCATAGATAGATCACAGCGCGGACAAGGACTCCCTAGGACTGAAGATGTTCAGAGCATTCAGCTCCGTGTCTGAATAAATCGTGGCAGAAGTGGCAGCAGCGGACAGGTGTGCCCCGCTCCCAGGATCGGGCCCGGGCCCGGCGGATTTGCAGTTGGGGCGCCCTCCTGCCTGCAACAGGAGGAATGCTAAATGCTGGGCACGGGAAAGAAAAGACAAATGGTTCCCGGAAGCATATTGTCAATTGCGAGGCAGCACTCCCCCCCCCCCCCGTGAAAGAGAAGGAGCTG